GAGTTCGGAGGCCAGCACTGAGCAAGAGCAAGACGCCCGCGTCTCTACTAAAAATAGAGAACGAAATTAATTGGGCCAACTAAAGTATATAGAAGAAAAATGAGCAGGGATGTGGCGCGATGCCTGTGAGTCCCAAGCTACTGGAGGATGGCCGAGGCTGTGGAGATTGCGTGATGTCAGGAGTCAAAAACCTGGCAGCCTGAGCAAGAGCGAGACCTGTCTTACTAAAAAGAAATAGAAATAAATTAATTGGCCAAGAATTAACTGAGTTAAATAGAATGATAACGAGTCCGGGCGGTGGAGGCGCGGTGCCTGTGGTCCCAGCTACTCGGAGGGAGGCGAGGCAGGAGGCTCGCTGGTGAGCATGAGGTGTGGAGGCTGCGCGTGAGCGAGCTGAGGCGGACCAACTCGTACCGCCCTGTGCGACAGACGCGGGGACTCTCTCTGCAAAATTAATAATTAAAAAAGAAAAAGAATAGCAGCGCAACAGAGATTACAGACACGAGGACAAATATTCACCAGGTAGTTGGTGATCACTTTTTTACGGCCGGGCCGTGGGGGCTGGCTCTAGTAATTGACTTCCATGATGGTTGGGTTGATTCTACTACTGTGGCGGCCCTGGGCTGGCGTCTGTGAGAAGACTCAGATTTGGTGACACAGCGCGGCCCGGGGGGTGGCGCTGGCTGCCAGAAGGATCTTCGTCTTGTGTGCAAAGCAAGCCCCACTTATTCGAGCAGCATGACGCACCGTATTGTATGAGAGCTAAAAATCTTGCTAGCTCACGTTGCATGCAAACATTTTTTTTCTTTTTTTTTCCCAAGGAAAAAAAAAACCCTGGACCCGTAATTAAGTCAGTATTTAATAACAGAGGCCCTCGCTAAGGGCTCCTATAATTACATTTTTTTTCTCTCTCTCTTTTTTAATTTATTTTATTTTATTTCTTTTTTAGCCAAGATGTCAATGCAAAGGGATTTTTTTTTATTTTTTAATTTCGTGTTTTCACTTGTTTTTTTTTTTTTATTTTTATATAAAATAAACAGACAGACAAGAACAACTTGTTTTTTTTTGTTTTTTTATCTTTCTTTTCTTTCCTTGCAGAGGTTTGTGGCGTAGAATTAGATTTGAATGAGGCCCAGAGCCCAGAATGTTCCGCCTTTCTCAAGACCGTACTAATGACAGCGGGCTGCACTTGATTGAGTTTCCTTTTTTTTATTTATTTCTGTATTTTTTTTATTTCGACATACTATGGGGGTACAGATTTTAAAGTTTCAATAAATGCCCTTCTTTTTTTTTAATTTTTTTTATTTTTTATTTTTTTTTCTACCTAAACTCAACAGTTCTAACACGTTCTACTTTCTTATTCAGGAAAACGGAATTTAAAACCTTGAAAACAAGGCAGTAAAGTAAC